ATGACCTTCAACCTCTCTCAATGGTATGCAAAACTTCAGCATGGAATTGGTGAATTTCATCACAGGCAAAGGTTTCAGAAAGGTGTAAAAGTTCCATCAAGTGCTCTGCGCGAGCTTGTTTATGTTTCTTATTTTCGATGTTGCTGATTATATACAATTCACCTCTTTTTAAGGCTGCCAGGCTGAGTTGAGCATAAGGAATTTCATCTAACAGCTTACCTCGGATTTGTTTGGTGGCAGTCTCATCTTGGCTGGATGTATCCAAGACATGTCTGGATTGATCAAGTTCAAACTTCACACACACATGGTACATCATGTCACAAATAGATATGTGCATTTGTTTCATGATCTGCTTAACAATAGTGGAATGATGGCCATTTTAAGGCCGAAAATGCATCAAAATCACGTATTTTCACAATTCCAGAACCGGATCTCAGTCATGCATGGATGGATTTTGTTCAGATTTAGTACAATGTGTTGTACATATGCAGGTGCATTTCGGTCATGATCTGCTTTGAATGTATATGTCACTCAAATATGAACGGATCGGGGACGTGTCATTGACAATGACTTGGTGGTTTTGAGGGCTGACATTCGTGGAGTCAAATCACAAGATTCTGACGCCATGTTGTTTCGTGGTCGTTCCTCAGAGCGGGCCGTCATTTCAAAATTGAAGATAAAAGAATTTTCACTGTTGAGTCTGGAAAATCTTCCCGTCGGATCATTGTGTGAGCTTATGGGAACTGAACAGGTGGAACGACTACGCATAGGACGGTCTGTCATCGCCGTAAATGGACTTCTAGAACAGAAAAAATATAAAGCAGCCGGAAAAATACTGAAGCAGACTGAGAATCTTCTGCCATTAGGTGGCGCTATATACTGGTGGCTACGACAGAGAAAACTGAACATGCAAATCTATATATGTGCAGCAATTAACCAAATTTATACTGAAAACAAATTTAACACAATGATTGGCCCAAATTGCCTATGTGATGTTCATAATGCATTCACAAGCCTTCAACTGCTACAACCCCCTCACTCAAAATGAAGGGCCTGCTATTATAGCCAAAATTGGCTAATAAGGTGTCATTTTACACAGGTCTGTGTAAACTCTTGCTCTGTATTTTTGTGAGCAATCACTCAATTATTTTATTCGCAGCAAGACTACATTGAGTATTTAAAATTAACAGCATCCAGGACAAAATTTGCAATGTGAATGTCTCCTCTTGTAAATGCATACACTGATTTTGTCAAATTGATCTGAACTTCTGTAAAAAAAAAAAAATGCAACAGAACAAAAAAAAGTCCAATTAAGTTCCAACATATTCAAATCGTAAATGTTACCATACAACTTTGAGATCCATCAGTTCATTTACCCTCATTACAAAACTTGAACTCAAATATTTTATATTAATTGAGTTGTATTTTTGTTTTTCATCAGAATATCATGACAAGGGAAGTTGATCCCGAAGAAATTGACATTTTGTCTACACAGATTTCTGTAAGTAAATTGTTTAGTTAATCTACATCACTTTTTTTTGTGCCCGGCGACAGTTCTGGACATTGAATGTCACTGTTGTCTCTCCTGACCTTTTTTTTTATATGTGCAAGTTGCAAGTGCTGACATATAGTGCATTTTTGCCACAGAAGCCATATTCATGTTTTGGGACTACACACATGACAGGGCTGTGCGGCCATCTCTCTATCAAATGGCAATTTAATGCGCTATCCTGGCGTCAACCAGGCTCAGTTGAACACAAGCACCTGCGGACCTTAACCAAGGTTCCCCCAGTCGCATTCATTAGTGAATAAATCTCGGCCAGTGGAAGTTGTCTTCCCATTGAATCTGTGGCACGCATTAGTTTTCGCCTGTTCTCAAAAAAAAAAAAAAAAAATCTCCTACGACGAGTCTCCACAGATCGGTTTTCAGTCTGGAACTTGCCAACTCATATTGTCGCAAAATGCCGGCTTTTCGTAAAACTCGTTTTGGACTACCTCAAAACGTGTCAGTTATGTCATAAATGATCTTCTGCACATGCGTACTGTGTTGCCGGGAATTCCAACATGGCGACCACGCCACCAAAATACGTGAGCATAAAAGTTCAGAGGGAAAACGGAGGGATTGTTGTAGACTGGTACGCAATTGACGTCGGCCAGGGAGATGTGACGTTTACACAGCTAT